AAAAAGAGAAGGAAAAGAGACATATAAAATTACCTTCGCCTATGCCTAGCCACTATCTCAAGAGGATATGATTACGACGATGTTGCGGACGGTGTCTTACCTCCCCAAATCCCCATCAGCGAATTCGATTATAAAATCTCCAAGACCAGACGTGCTCTTCTGAAACAGAAAAAGAGAGCATGATCACATTCAAGAAAAATCAGAAAAACAATAACCTAAAAACAAAAACCCAAAACATCGAACCTGCTTCTCCCCCAACCCGACCGTCAATCTCTCAAACCCGACAATCAATCAAAACCTGAAACCCAACTCATATATGATTGGGGGATGGGAGGAAAAAGCCAAGAAATTGCCATTCAGTAACCGCAGAAAAAAGGAAAAAATGGCAGGGGAAAGGAGAAGGAGGGTGGGGAGAGAGAGAGACCTGAGTTCACGACGACGGGAGGGAAGGTTTCGCAAGGCAGACATCTAATGGCCCAGCAGCATTTCGCTGAGATTCCACGATCAACTCAGGTCTCAGAAAATCCCATCAACTCAAAGGGCAAGAGAATCAGCATGCTCTGGCTTGAGAATCGGCCACACACCATCTTGGGATTTTCGCTTCGTCGGAGAGGGATCCTCACAACCGAGACTTCTTCGTGAGGAACCGTTTGGGCAACAGAAACCAGAGAACATAATTAAGAAGATGCATCTAATCATAACAAATGAGAGAGATGAAGCAAAACCATCAATATCGACTTATCACCTTCAAACGTCAGGGCAAGCAAATCTGGTTTCCTTCCGTCGCCAATCTCGTTCTCCCCTATGGACCCTCTTCAACATGGATTTATAACCCAAACCACAGATCTTCAGATTGGTAGCTTTTAGTTGGAATTGATGACCATCTCCGGGGCTTGTGAACTCGGTGCTGGTATCTTCTGATAATGGATAGGTTGAGAGTGATGGAGAACGAATCTGTCTAGCAAAAAGAAAAAAACCATGAGAAACCCACCTTGCGGTTCTGTGTATCCTCCAATTTCTCTCGCCCCCCAAATTAGCCAATTTATAGAAGAACGAACAAAATGGAAAGAGCTGAGAAAAAGAGTGGAAAGAGCTGAAGAGACGCTTACCAACTCCTGATTACTCCGAGAGTCCTCTCCCCTCAAGACTGACGCGAGTTCTCTCTCAACCAGAAAGGTAAAAAACCAAAGAGGGAAAGTGAAAAGTCGAGAAGAGAGTATAATTAAATAAGAGCGAACCTGGAGGGGAGAGTTTAGAGAAGAGAAGAACGAACAAAATATAGGGATCTCACCCTTCTCTAGTTCCCCTCTCTTGCGGAATCCTCATATGAAAGTTGGCTTTTCTCACCTCTTCTCCCAACCACGGTTCTGAATCGCATATAACAAACCTAAAATCCAAACACAGAGAAGGTTGTTGAAAAACACACAAAACCTGCAAGATCACAGTCGATAAAGGAGAAAGAGACCTGAGATTCACCTTTCGGCCGCTCAAGTTCACCTTCTCCGGTGACCGCTCCAAGCTACTGAATCTTTGAATCTTCTCTTCGTCGCCGCAGGTCCTCGAACGATTCTCTGGTCGGCGTTTCCCTACCCCGGGTCTGAGATGAGAGAGAGAGAGAAGCTTCAAAGTAGTATGCAAACCATCTGTATCCTTGAGATCAAGTAAAAGCTTATGTCCGACCATCGTCAATTTGTGAACGAACAAAGCAACGTTTGCAGAGAGTAGTAAAAAGTTGGAGTTCAAGCGGCGAAGGAAGAGATAGAACGACGAATGACCTGGGAAAAGAGGACACATGTGATAGCGAGGAGACGCAATGATGATTCACAAAGACCAAAATGGCAACTAACAGAGCAGGCGGTGGAACGGCGGCGAAGTGAAAGGGTAAGGGTAAAGGTAAAGGCGAAAAGTAGGATCTTACGGAACGGGGATCGACACACCACTCATAAAGGAAAGGGGAAACCTGTACTTCTCTGACCAGTCTTTCCTTTCGTAAGGACAGGCGGGTCTGTCAGAAGAGCGAATAGACTATCGAAAAGCACATCAAAACAGGTAAGGGAACTGAGAAAAGTTGAGTTAGGGAGTGTAAGGGCACTATCTGAAACCCAATAGTTGGGAATTTACTAATGGTAACGGATTGATTCCTGTTCAGTCTTATTCATCAAACATCCTATTTAATACACGCACATAAGCATATACATATTTGATCAACCATAAATCTAAATCAAGCATCCGCATAACTGTAGATTGTATTTGTTCTTATCCCCATTCACTGGACGCAATTCGCATTGAGAATAAGTAATTCCTATACAGCACGTCCAACATTCGCATAGTTAACGAATTTAATTGGGAATCACATTTTATTACTGCATACATTTCGGCATGACCAAAGCAAAAGATTTTGTCTATCTATCAACACGAACGGAAAACCAAATGTATTTTCGGTGAAGATCGAATACCAAAACATGAACGTATTTTGCACGCAACTTGCTTGAAATGATCGTAAATCACGAACGAAGCATATGTGATGGAGGTAAAACTAAATCATAAAAAGAACAGGTTTCATAAACAACTGAAGGTAAGCAAAATATACAAATGCAAAAAGCACAAAAAGTATGAAGAGAACGGTCCTGGCAATCTAAAAAGGAAGGAACGGTTGCAATAAGTAAGTAAATGGGTACGAACATGTGTAAGTTGCGCTCAGAACACGATAAAGCGAAGTAAGGAAAAAACACAAAGAAGAGGACATTAACTACTAACACGTTTAAGCGTAAGGCACAAACCAAGCATCCTCTATCAAGCACACGGCGTAAAACAAAAAAATACATAACAAAGCGATTTTATAGGAAAATCGAAGTAAAAAAAGTATACAAAAAATAATCGGCAAAAACAATCGGCATGTTGCGTTGAAAAGGTAAAGAAACATTAGAGTAAAAGGAGCGTTTGCGCAAGAGAACCAAAGCAAGCGTAAAGGTAGGAAAGCAATAAAAAGCGAAATCGACAATTGTAAAGCGAGACAAACAGCCACCAAAAGCGAAGTTGGACAACAGCCACAAAACGCAACAAACACGGAAGGAAGCGCATTAAAAGCAGTAGCAAACAAAAAAATAAGAATCGAGTAAAGCAAACTAAGAGCTAGAGAGAAAAAAAATATAAGAAATCGATGAAAGCAAAACAAAAGGTACAAAGCAAAAAAGAAATCGGCAACAACAATTCTAGAGCGGTCACAAACATAATACGCTTAAAAAACAACAGACACAACTAAACAAACGCGTGAGTAAACGAACAAAACAATCACAGAAAACAAAACTACACTAACAAACTAAAAGACAACAACAAAAAGACCCACAAACCAATCATTTGCATGATGTGACTATAAGTAATAGTGCACATCTTACTTGTTCTTTAATAAGAAGAATATATTGCGATTTAGCAAGATTGTAGTTAGGCACCTTGCATTGTCTCCTTGGAACCAACTAGTACTTGTGGCGTGCAATGTTTTCAATTACTAGTACCAATTTTTCATGTGATGACTTAAAATGAAGCATTTGTTGTGAGAGAAAAAAAAACCTGTAGTTACAATTTACAAATGCCTAGAGACCAAGTCCTTTTACACATATGAATTTCACTTCTTTGGGCAGATGTATCAATCTTTCATTACTTCATCAACTAATTATAGAAAAGATGATGTTTTCTTTTCAATTTTGATAAAATTAATTATTTGTAATAGGCATCTCAATATTCAATGAACAATATTAACCAAGAGCACTTCTACTATGCTATATAGTATTGGTGTTTTAATATACAATTTGAAGTTGTACCATAACATTAAATGTATAAGTTTAGGTTGTACCATAAAGGAATTTGTATCATTATGTTATGATACATCTTTACAACTTGAAGTTGTACCATCACATAAAAGTACAAGTTCAAGTTGTACCATAAAAGAATTTGTACAAAAAGTATAAGTACAATCTGAAGTTGTACCATAACGTTAAAGGTACAATTTCAAGTTGTACCATAAAGACAAAAACCTATAACACCAATACTATATAACATTGTAAAATTCCTCTATTAACCAATAATAATACTTTCATTATATTATCTGTTTGTCACAATTAGGGATGTGTACTCTCTTCGATGTGACTTGTCATGAGCCCTCCATTCTCGATCTGTTTTTTGCCTAAATTACATGTAATTTTACTCAAATTACATAGGATTTTGCTTTTATTGCCTTACATTTTAGCTCTAATAAAATTATAAATAGGTGAAAACCTCAATTTATCGAATAATTTAATTATATTTATCATGCTATAGTTTGTTTCTCGAATGTTTAATGAAATATAAATATTTCTTGTGTTTGCCCTTTAAATTACATACCCATATGGGTCGACCTGTCCCGATCCGTGACACATAATAAATTACTCAACTTGCAACGGGACGTGCATGAGTATCGAGATACCCCGACCTGCTTCATTGTCATTCCTCGCTGCAATTAGAAAAATAATTATCCAATTGATAGTATAAAAAATAAACATTTTTGTCATTTGAAAACGAGGTGCGGGTCATTCAAATTACTCAAGATTCACCCACCATCCACCCTAATATATACGGGTAGGAGATTTACTAGTTACTACCCCACAATCCACCCACATCAATCACTCACCTTACGACAATTCGACTTATTTGCATGTAGGTCGTTAAACCGCGAGTGAACAACCCACATGCTCATTCTAGCTATTATGGTTGTCGATTCGGTTAATCAAACTGTTAAGATGAAAAATTGGGAACCGAAATTTACATTTAGAGGCTTAGGTTTTCAATTTCTGGAAATCGATAAGTCCTTTAAACGTTCGGTTTCTATCTGGATAAACCGAGAGAAGAAATCAAACCACTAGCGATACAATAGACCTGTTATCAGTTCCTTCACTGAGTTTCGATTTTAAGTGAAACCGAAACCGTTTATCGCATAATAAATTTCTTACCGCTCAGGAAAACATTAAGGGCATGCAATCGATTCGATTTCAATTAAAACTGCAAACCCAAAACCTAACTTACATCCCTACTAGCTTTTAGTGACTCAAAGGTTTTCCCCTCTGCCTAATTGGCTAAAGGTGTCGCTCATATCTATATCTCATTTCGGGAACGAAATCTCAACCATTCCATACAAATAAAAATATAAAATAAGGAAGAACACTGAAGCGCTCGCTGAAGTTTTGCTGATCAACTATTATGTCAGTCTGCCTACTGCTACCATTTTACCTTTGAACTACAAATCTAGGGAAAAATAGAATAACTACTATGTGAACCAAATGATACCTTTGTATCAATTCATCTCAAAACCATTCGTTCTTACGGACAAACTGAAAATTCCTTTCTCTTTTGCTTATACTTTTCAGTGGAATTTCCTTTATTTAATCAATCAGCAGTAATGTGGTGGTAACCTGGTTAAGCATAATACATGAACAAGCTACTTCCAGCGGAACAGGCAATCAAGTTACTGGTAGGGTTCCATGCCAGATGAAGCAACTTGGAGCTCAGATCACATGCAAATTCATGACTGCTTGCACCCGAATTGGAATTCCCTGGGTGGCAAACAGAATCATATCAGTGCATATGGAACACAATGTGAGGTGAGAGCATGCAGAAAAAAATAAGAAGGTTTTTCAGAACCCCAACCTTGCCGGTAAAATCCACGCGTTAGGTTGCTCAAGGATGACCTTCGAGGCCTTGATGCAGAATGGACGGCTGGCTTCCTGATTTTTCGAAGAACAGTACACTCAGTTAGTCGAAGACAGTTGCCCAAAGTGTTAATCGCTATAGAACACATGATCGTTGAGAGGAATGATTCAGGTAGTAGGATTTGGGCTTTCAGCATGTAGTTAGGAGAAGGGAGGGGAGGGGAGCCAACCTGCTTGGGTTTTTGCCAGCTTCTACTGTCATGTGCTCTTCGGTCGAATCACCGTTCGAGAATACATGTAAAAGGTTGCTGTGTACATAAAAGAAGAGAACTGTCATTGAATTAGGGATGCAAAACGTTTAAGCAGGGACTATGTAGTTAAATGCGTGCCCAGCAAAGTTTGAAGTGCGTGGTGAAACCTGTAAGATCCAGTTGCAAAATGTGAACCACTTCCGTTGACGCAGCATTCGAATTTATCAAATATTGAATCGTTATTATACAACTCACACAACTGCAGGGAACATGGTAAACCAACGAGTGAAGAGGCAATATATCATGGATCAACTTCTAGGAAAACATAAAAGGGAAAATTCAAGCACTGAACAACTTAAAGTGTATAACTCCTGAAATTACAAAGGGCACAACGACTTTCGAGAAACAACTATAAGAACCATCATCAGTTACATCAGCTACAGAGTTTTATCTTCATAAGGGAACAGCCTTACCTTAGGGCGTAGGTGCTCATGAACCTTGAATACCTTCACTGGCATAGAGTCCTTTCGAATGTCCCATAGCTGAACCAATAAAAGAACAGGAATCAACTTACATCAAAAGCTTTCAAGACGCCAGAGACAAAAGAAGAAGAAAAACCCCACAGGTTGAATGCTACATTTCAAATGAAGTTCCACTCATTCTAGCACGACAAATAGGTTGGGCTCTGTAACTTGAGCAGACAATATATAGGATTTACCAAAAGAAAGGAATGCCCATCACAGAAGAAAATCATGTGCAGAACCTTTCCTAAAACTGACAAAGGGGACAAGAGGAGAAGAACTAAAATAAATAAAAAGAGGGCCCTCCTGACATGTAAAGGAACTAGATCAGGCACAGAAATCATGAGACCAACATTTCCTTGTACAAGACAAACTCATCATCATATCACAAAACCCTTCAACAATACAAATAATAGAGCTGCACAATTAGTGAGAATTAGGATCGACAACCTTTAAGTTCATAAAATCACGACTTAAGATGCACTGTCCATCATTTACAAACTTGATATCTGAAATAGAGGCTATAATCTCTGTAAAGAATGACTTAGACCCTGGTTGATGCTCAGTTTCCTGTAATCTGGCAAAAATAAAAAAGGCGTCATTCTCACTGTTTTGAGATGATTTGTAACAGGTGTAAAATAAGATCGGAAGGAGTTAACAGTGCGCTTGAAGCATGAACTACTCTCACATTGTTGCGCTTTTATCACATAATGCTGATTGCCGCATGTCAATTAGATGAATAAAACCTCTCGAACTACTGTATGCCAGCAGATTACAATGACTTGGATGGAACTCTGCTGATGTTATAACCTCTGAACATAAGGCCAAGATAAAATTAGGGCACAGTAACACGTGCATAGTTACAGCTGTGACATGGTATATAAACTACACCACAGATGGAACAACATTCTCTACAAGCACAAGCATCCATCTTAATTTGTTGTTCCAATCATCGCACCAATAAAACAATGCCCTGGATATTAGTCATTCTTGCTCCATCATTATAAAAATAAAAGGTCTACAGGAAAGAGGGTAAATAGTTGAGGAAGTTGGTCAGGGAAAGAAAAAGCAAGAGACTTGTCAGTAACAATTCACTACAGGATTACCAGTAAGATCTTCCATGTTTGACGGCTTTATGTCAATGATATTGAAACACTGATCTTTGACATCAAGGTTCCATAAGTTTATTCTAAGGTCATCTGCAGAAATAAAGGTCTCACCATCACTGCATGGAAATGATGAACATCTTAGAAGCAGAGGAAAGAGATCCAGAATGTTATGCGAAGACGCAGTCAACTCAAGATTCGCCTAGCATGACAAAAGTGATGAGTGACCAAGTATTGAATTGCACATTCAGCGCAAGAACATGATGCCAAGTAAATATTTACCTATTGTTTGAAACTGAATTGATATTGAAATCATGTGCATGAGCATAAACCTTTCGACAACTTGCACGGACAGAATCTTCGAGCGAAGAAATCTAATCACACAAGAAGCAGAGTAAACTAAACAAAACACTTATCTAGAAAGAACGTATATTGAACAACCTTCAAAGGATTTCACCTAAAAGTGCAAGACTTTTACCTTGGCTTGCGCTTCTTGAACTGGGGAAATGTTCTTAACTGCATTTGTTGTCCATTCCATATCATGGCCGTTAGGAACAGTTGGTTTTCCTTGCATGCTTATGTAACTCGCTTCAGCCAAAAGACCATTCTCTGAATGCACAGCTGAACTATGGTCCGTTTCTTTTACTTGCTTCACCTTATGTTCCTTGAGCTATAGACAACAACCATCGAATGAAGCACTTCACACCTCAGGTTACAAGATGTAAGGAAACACCCACGACTAATGCCAGCAAAGAAGAGCAAGCACCAACAACTTCAACTCATACCTTCCAAAGTTTAACCGTCTTATCATTTGCAGAAAGCAGAAACATCGATCCACCATGCGTCATACACCACCTTACTCTATTGATCTTCTCTTCAATCTCCAAGCTTTTCAAGTAGTCAAACTATACAAGGCAGCAGAAACACCATTGGCACCACACAGAAAAAAAACCATTAATCGAGGAAGAATCCAGAAACACACAACAACTGAGAGTAGCTGTGACAAACAATCACCACACCTCCGGTTCATGACTCTGAAATTCAGCCTTGTACTGATAAATAGGCCGGCGATGTGCCTTGGAACTAAAATCTACCGCCTCCAATTCAATTCGAGAACGTTGCTCCTAATTACAGAGAAAATAGCTCAATTCAACCAATTCAGAAGTGCTTCTGCATCACTCAAATGGGAAAACAACACCATTTCATACTTACATTCGTCTCCTCCGCCTCCTTGCTCTCGAAGATTATCACACGGCCGCCGCGATCTCCAACGGCGAGGTGACGGCCGCTCTTGTCGAATTCGATAGCAGATATTAGGTCACCTGCAGACGGGAGCTGAACATTCACGAAAACGAAGAAACTCCGATCGACAAATCCAAGCAAACGCACACCGGCCAAGAGAGAGAGATAGAGAGAGAGGGGAAGCTAACTGTTCTGGACGTCTTCGCCGGGAGCTTTCTCGCCGAAGACCTGCGAGAACTTCCAGTGGAGAGGAGCGGAAAGTGAAGAATCCGGGGAGCTGGAACTCATGGCGCTGCTTCGTTTAGTTCGTTAGAGGTTTCGGCTAGTCGTCGTCGTCATCTTCATATGCTGCTTTGCAGTCCTAGCTGGCCGGGGGGGAGTTCTGGCTTTTGCTGTAATCGGAATTTCCGGGGTGAATCGCCGAATCACGGACGGGGAAAGGCGGGGAAGAAGACAGAGAGAGAGAGAGAGGGATAGGGCGATTGAGAAATTGGGTTGTGAAATTTGAGAGATTCTGATTCTTTCTTGTTGTTCTTCGTCTAGGAGATGGCGTGGCTGCCTGGCTGGCTGCAAGCTTCACATCAGCTGTCCTGTAACTGTAAGCTTTGGTGGTGGCGGTGCCAGCCTTATCCGGTCGCTCCGGAATTTACTGTGCCGGAAAATGGCTAAATTACACGTTTAGTCACTCATTTTGTCATAAAATTCATATTTGCCACCTCATATTATTATCAATCTTTAAGGTTTGTGCATATTTAGTATATTGCTATATCTCATCTTCCACCAATATAATAGCAAGCCATTGCTGTCGAGATGTCTAATTTTGAGAAACTAAAATACTAAGGAGAGTTTGAACCATTCAAAAATATGTGTAAAATTACATCTGTTTTTTTTAGTTTTTTCATCGGTGCACAATATGCATTTTGTTCGTTAATCATAATAATATTACGCAAAAAAAAAAAAAACAATGTTCATCACTTTGTACTCTTTGTAAAAATCTCGTGCAAAATTAGACATGAGTTCAAACTACTTTTATACTATGTAGATAATCAATAGTGAGTGTCACAAGGAAACAAACCGTATCTAGGAGATACCATTTAGATATAGATCATATGTGAGATCATGGTACAAAAGCATGAATTCAAACTATGTCTACATTTTGTTGAAGACCTATAGGCTGAGTGTCCAAAGGAAACAAATTGTAGCTTAAGGATATCATTTATAGTGATCATAGTACACTACAAACTCGACATGAATTCAAACTACATTATATGAAAATCATAGATAAGACAAATATAACACCGAAAGCAAGAATCGTAAACTTTTTTTCACATAACAATGAGCTCGCCAAGCCGTTGTCAATATTGTGCAACATATGGAAGGGGAAAAAAAAGAAGTTACGTACTACTCGTTCCGAAGCGCGCACGAACCAAATCACTAGTACTCTTCATTATTTAGCGAAAGACACAAATTAAAGCTGTCCGAAATCGTACAAACAACGAGGATGGCGGGTTAATTTAATCATCAATCATCATCATCCACTGTAATCGGATAAATGTGACATGGTACATAAGTAGAGAGAGGATTAGTGAATGCTCATGCTCGCCTCGTTACGTTAAAAGTACGTACTTATAGAGGAGGCTGGCTGTGGTTTTAGTAGCAAGGATTTTTTTTTGGTTAATGATGGTAGTCGGAGATGAAGAACGGAGGATCAGTGGAGTAGAGGGAGTCGATGACGGAGGATTGCATGTTGTCGGTGGGTTTCCAGTGCCGCTTCCGCTGGTTGATGAACCAGTTGTTTATCTGCTTCTGGTCCAGCCCCGTCGACTCCGCCAGCGCCACCTTGTCCGCTTCCTACGTTTACATTTTTTCATTTCATAATAATAATATTAATTATTGTCAAAATAAAAATAAAAATAATATCGTACGGTACGAATGATTTTTTTTATTATTATTAATAATTAAATTTTACCGTGGGGTAGGGCCATTTGTAGTGCAGGTTCCACCAGTTGAGAAGGATGAGGCGGCCTTCTTTGGGGAGCTTCCCTTTCTTCTTCTTCTTGGAGAACTCCTGCTTCAGGCTGCTCAAGTACCCGCCGTACTTGTGCATCAGCCTGTCCTTCAGCTCCCGGTCCTCTTCCGATATCATCAGGCGCTGGCCGCGGCTGTCGTTGCGGCCAGCTGCTGATGACGATCCCAAGTGATCAGCTTCTCCGCTGCTCATGTCCTCGTCGGAAGAGCCCGAGCCGCCGCCGCCACCACCACCACCAGCATTCATGTTACCGTTGTTGTTGATTACAACCTTCTGCTGATCTGTTTAATTCCGAGTAGCAAAAGTGCAAAAGGATTCAACACATCAAACACACAGAAAAAGAGAGTGGAGGGATTTGGCCCATTAGTTGTTGAAATCTTAGGCATAGAAAATGAATATAAAAATGTAGTAGGGTTAAGTCGTATCCCAGTCAGACAGAGAGGAAGGGGAAGCCCGCAAGGCACGCACTGCCCTCTGGGTTGGCATTGGAAAAGCCGAAAGAAAAGCGGCTCAGTAATCCCAGTAAACACCGCAAGCCATGCATTGTCAGTTGCAGTAGACCGACCGAACGAACCAGTGGGCAGTGACTGGCAACTAAAGTGAGATTTGGCTAGTGTAAATTAATGACAGTTTTGCCCAAAGAATAAAAAAGAGAGAAACGGGTTATGGGTTTGGTCAGGTCAGGTCAGGTCAGTAAAGAGGGATTTGTTGGCAGTGGGAGATCTCAATCTCATATATATATAGCAGCTAGCTAGAGCTAGGGCTAGAGTAGACGTAGAAGGGATGACAGAAAATACTTGGGATCAAGCAAACAAACTAGCTAGCTACCTTGCTTTATCTATCAGAGCAGAGCTGCATGCAATGGATTCGACCAATCAATCAACTTTAGCTACTTCTCCACTATACTGATGACATATATGACGGATAGATGATGCTGGAAGCCGGCGTTTTAAGCAAACCCGGCCACATGGGACACTTTTTTACTGCTGATGAATGAACCCATCAATCTAAAAGCAGGAGAGAGATTATTAACTCCTGGATATTTCACTCTTCACTACTTAGTTGAGTGGTCATTTGAATTGGATCTACAAGTAGAGGTGTACTACAGTTTTTCAGCAGTCACCTATGGAACCAATATAAGCTTAACACAGAAAATGACGACACACACAATTCTTGAAGCTGCAAAATGCCAATAGGTTAGGTGCAGGACTGACCTAACCTGACCATCAGATGTCCTTGAAGCTACTACCACTACATTACCTGGTAACTTGTTATCAAAGCTATCAAACTATATCATATTTGCCAACTAAAGTTTGCAGTGTGGCTTTCTTAATTACTAAAACCCTAAAAACATAATGCCTGCTCAAACTTGGTGTATGAAGTTAATTTCTTCCCTAAATAAGCACCTGATTAACCATATGGAAGTAAATGGGTTGTGCAGAACCAGGTGCAGGTGGTTATCTATCTAAACTAAAAAGCAATCTCTGAAAAAGGAGCATGCAAAGCAAACTAATCTCTCCAGGCAGTTCTCTGAAAAGGATTGCAAAACCTGGTCACTCACTACAGCTTTAACCTTGCGCATGCCACAAACATAACAACACTAATTTTTAACTATATATCTATCGCCCAATCAAACCCACATCCTTAAAAAGCTTTTATTCCCAGACAAAACCCACAGCCCCCCCAACCCCAAAGAAACTAGTCACAATTGTACGTTTGGCCTCTATATATAAATGTCAACTTACTATTTCTGCCAAATCTTGCAGCCTTTCTGCATGATAACAATTGTAAAGCAATTGCTTCTTTTTAAACTCTAATCAAGATCGAGCAAGCCAGCCTCAAAAGCAGAAGAAGATCATCATGAACAGTACTGATGATCAGGCGTGTTAAAGTTAATATAACATTATAAAGAGGAGAGAGAAGGCATGGACCGGACAAACATCGATCTGAACACGAGCTAAGTGTTCTCCAACACTCCACTTTAACCCAGAAAAGCTACCAAAAGAAAGTCTGCAAGCTTGTACTTGCAGCCTGACATGATACGAAGATTCATTGGCTGGTATAGTTTATACAGTTGGAACTGCCTGCCCCGCAACTCTTCCCGATGATTTCTTTATTAATGTGCAAATGATTCTCAGGTAGTCAAGTGCAAGCCATTAGTTTAATCCCATTCATCCAACTCAACACACAACTTATCACCACATTGAAAAATGAAAGGAGAACAAGGGGGGAAAAAGGAAAACAAATTTTCTCAAGAAAAAAAAAGAAGGAAAACAAATGAATATTAGTTTGTAAATTGTAATGTATGTAGTAGTCCCACTACTACCATTGGTCATGTGGGTTTGTCCACCTAAATTTGCTCCTGACCCATGTCTCGTGATGCCATACCAAAACAATCGGTCATGTCGACTGAACGAACTATGTATCGATAATCAAGTTCGTACGCTTTGCAACCGCGTAGTATAACGATTTCGCTATTGTATCTTAAATCTTTCATGTTAAGAGATGGAGACAACCCATAAGTAAAGAAAGGGTTGAAGAAGTAATGGAATTCCAAGTTCAAAGCCATGTGGTTTCATCAACATACATATACCTGGAGGATGTAGTGGTGGTGGCGCAGTGAAAGCTGGAGGAGGCCCGCAGAGAGCATGAAATTGAGATTGAATGTCTGTCAGGAAAGCCGTGGCTTCGTCAAACGGCCTCCACATCTCCCATTTATACTTCACCAATACCTCGTAGTAACTCTCCTGCCCGACACACCCGCATGTATGTATTAGTTATACTACCTTTGGAACTTAGGGAGAGGCAAAGATGAAGAAGCTAATTTTGGGTAGATTAGGGTTTAGGCTCTAATTAAGGAGAGAGAGGAGCAGAAAAGCAAGAGACCATGAAGTCGTCAAGCTCCGGATCTGCGCCCAAGCGAGAGGTAGAAGACGACGACATTATCTGGGTCTGCTGGGAGACATCAGCACTGATGATACTGCTTTGTTGCCTCATCATCTCATCCAGAATAGAGGACATCTCAGCTGGAGCTCCAACCTGCAAAACCAACCATAACGATTAAGTCGGACTCAAAATTAATGTGCATCCCTAATATCCCTCAAAGAAAGAGAGATCGAAGGCTGGATTTCATTTAAAGCGTCTGCAATTTCCAAGACAAACACCAAAAACCCACTTCCCCTTGCTCACCATAAAAGCCGGGAGAGAGTTTCGAAACAGGGTAAAAAGCAGTGAAAGAACGAAAGAAAGAAGGAGAGAGAGAGAGAGAGAGGCTTCCTTTTCTCCGGGAGTAAAACGGCCGAGGCCTCAAAACAGAAGTACTACTGCTGACAAAGAAAGCAGCCGAATCCCTTTTTGACGAATACTACTTCATCTCACAGTTTATTTCACTTCCACATTTCATCATACACATGGAGGGCACGCCACAGAACCAACAGACGGAGACACTTTAGCGAGAGTAATTATACCCACCTTGTGGCAATCAATGTAAGCCTGAAGCAACTTAGGGTAGAGCGGATGGGCAGCGATTCTCGCCCTCATCATCATCATCCCACCGCCCTCTTCCTCCGCCGCCGATGCCGCATCCGACACCGAGGACGACCCACTCCGGCCACCGCCTTCGGACGGGCAAAACATGACCTGGCCGCCCCCGCCACTTGCCGCCTCCCACGACGGCGGCGGCGGCGAGGGAATCGCGCCCGTGCCGGGAGGGGAAAAGTGACAGGGATCATCGGCGTAACTGTAGTTGTAGTAGTAATTGTTACTGTCGTCGTGATTTATATTGAGCTGATGATTGTCAACCCGATTGTAATTAGAAAGCAGTGCCGCCATATCGGCGGGGAGTTGGAGGGAGTAGCAGTAGTCGTCGTCGTTAGAGGAAGCTTTGGTGGTGGCGGCGGCGGCGCTGGTGGTAGTAGAGTAGAGGCAGTAGGGTGCGTCCATGGTGTTGAGATGATGAGAAGAAATTATGGAAATTGAGCTGGAGAAGAAGGAAGGAGAGAGGTTTGCAGCAGACGTGTATAATGTGTGTTTATGATATGAAGGCTGGGGAGAAGAGAGAGGGAGAGAGTCGATGCCTGGTACTGAATGGCAAACAGACGATTGGTTTTTATATAGAAAAAGCAATTTCTCTCCTCTCTTCCATAGCAAAAGCCAAAAGTACTTTGGAGTGGTTCAAAAAGTTGGTATTTTTACTTTGATTTCATGATTAAATAGGATGTTGAGTCGGAAAAGTTAGTGGTTCATTGTCTAAGAAATTAAGGGGTCGTTTGATTTTGGTCGATGGTTAAATTGATGCATTGTTATCAATATATGCATAATAATATATATGTATATGAGAAAATTGGTGTATTGTAGTTTACATCGTTTGGTTTTTATGATAGTTATTCAAATATTGAAATAAGTTATATTATTTTTTGGATGAAATGTCACTTTTGCCCTTTGTTTTTAATATTAAAGAAGCAAAACACATAAAAAGGTAGGGACATAGTTGGAACAAAACAAACCCTGACAATCTCAACCAAAACTAGAGATTTAACTATCACTCATTTTGAGTGATAGTTTGTGTCAAATCAAGCATACAATTAGGGGTGGAAATCGGTACGGTATCGGTATCCCAATACCAAATACCGAAATCCCGAATACCGAATTACACCCCAAGGTCAATCACAATCCCAATCCCTAAATAATTTCGGTATCTCAATCCCAATCCCTAAATATTCTGGTATCCCATTCGATACTTCGGTATCCCAATCGGTATTATCGAATACGAAATTAATTACCTTTGCAATTAATAATTAAATATATAAATTAGATTTTATAGTTTAATTTAGGGGAAAATGACTAAGCGAAGAGTCTTGAATTAGGAAATTATTAAGGAGAATGGAGGAGGGGAGACATCTCAAGTTCTTGTCATTGATAATCTTTAAGTGTTAAGACATCTCAAGTTCCTGTCAAATGTTTGGTTGTGGACTCTTTGCTTCATCTTCGTTTATCCTATTAATAGCCATCAAGTGTAACTGCCTCTTTGTAACTGATGATCCACTGCTTGATGTTTGATGCAGCTTGCTTGATGCCTTCATCTCCTTGCTTATTGCAACCACTTGGTACCTTGATAGATTAAAGACTTCACTTGGAAGGTAGCCACCTTGTGTCGTGGAGGTATCTTGTTTGGCGTTGTCTTGACATTTGATGCTTTAGTGATATTCATACTGACCACCCTTGCATGACATCATGCTCAGCACCAGGGTGCTTGGAAAGTTGATGGATGCACACTAACCCATGAGGCCTTTGCATGACCACCCTTGCATAACATCGTGCTTGCAGGGTATGGACAAGGTGGTCTACCATGTGATAATATACATGACTAACACTTAGAAACTTGATCATCTTGTCTACTAGGTACCATGCATGACTACCCATGAGGCCTAGCATGCCTGACTACTTGGGATAAGAGTGCGTTGTTCCTACCCCTTTGTTAAGATGTCATGTTTGGCACCTTGATGCTTGGTTGGTAGACAAAGAGGAGAAGATTTCATATTTGACTGCCCAGAAGATTCTCTCATTGGATGCCATCAAATGCTTAACACCCCAGTGTTTGGTAGGTGGCCGATCAACATAATTTTACCCATCTTGTATGATGTCATGTTTGACACCCCAATACTTGGCATGTAGGTGACTAGGTGCTTGATTCTTGGTATGTGGCATGCTTGATATGTGAGTTATGAGGCCTTAACACTTAGCCAAATTTTACCATCACGGTGTCGCACCATACTTGATAAACATCATGCATGTCAATTCCCATCGGCCTTGGATGATCCCATGCTTGACACTCAATGCTTGGTAGGTGGGTGGTGATGTCTCCATACTTAACCAAATTCTACCCCTCGTGAATGATGTCATGCTTGACACCCCAGTGCTGGGTAGTTGGGCTGCCAACACACTTGACAGTTGGGTATGTGACCTGCTTGAGATTGAGCGACGGGTGGTAGGGTGCTTGGCGGGTCGAGGGTGTGTGTACCCAGATACTTTCCATCATTTAGGACTAACTTAGACCAATTTAAATAATATGCTTAAGTTGGTCTGATCAACCACAACCACTTCTTGAAATTAACCAATGTAATACTAAGTCATTTTCTTAGTGGTAAACAAGCTCATATATTTCCACAAGTCCACGAAACAAGTTATGAATAGCGTTAATAATACTGTTAATGATACTGTGGGATTTCTCCTCCCATTTTTCTTTGATTAGACTGGTCCAATCATGATTGACGAAAACGAGATAAAATTTGTCAGGAGATGACAAGTTTGTGACAAATTTGAGAGAAAATCATAACAGAGGACCCCTTATTAGCAAATATAATACGTCATGAGTATTGGCAGTGAATACCTAATAGTCCAATGATACCAAGTCAACTGTGCAAATTGATAGTGGTTTGTTATTATGCTAGAGCGTTTATTTTACTCCATAAAAGGGCAATGCATATTGACGGCTCTGGTCGTGAAAGCAACATGCACTCACTCACTCATGGAATTCCAAGATGATAACGGGAAAAGGGAATACGACTACATCCATATATACTTAAACCAAAACTAACCAAGTAAGTGGCCGAATTAGGGTGGAGAAACGTGATCAAAACCCTACTTTATTGAGATTCTCCCACCAATTCATCACATATATTCATTCTCCGGCCCAAAGAATAATAATTAATTAGACCAAATTATAACACATCTTTTCCATTCTCTAGTGATAAGTTTGTTTGTCCCACTTACTCAATCTACCCATAAATTATTAGTTAAACAAAACCAAAGGCCAACAAACGGAATCTCGAGGTAATTGTATTCGTAACATTCCGATCTTTTTTTATAAAAGATATTATTCATTTTCAGTTTATTTCGTACGGTTTTATTTTCGAGTGTGTCATAATAACTTCTCGAGAGATCATTCATTTTTATGCTGTTTCACATTGAATGTGTTTAACTTCAAAATTCTTATAAGAAGTCATATCTCTCTCTTCAAAACGCGTCTTATCATGTTAATATTGGATGATTTTCAGTAAATCATGGATTTCTTTATTACGTTTGTGGATGTGGAATTTGTTTGAAGTGTTACAATATTTTTCAACCTTTTCTACCAAAGAAAAAGGATCTAAAATAAAGTATATTTGACCTCTGGATGAGGATTGTAAGTTTGTAACTACTAAGACCAACTCCAATGCAAGCCCCCAAATTTGGGGTGCATCCCCATTTTCCTTTCTTTTGCTCCAATGCTACATCCTCTATATTTGGAGATCTCCATTTTTTAAGTTTTCAATTTACTTAAAAATGTACTTATCGAAGCCTTAATATAATTTGTTCATGTTAATTTTTGTATAGTTCGTCATCATTTTTAAATACAAATTTTCCGGTAGAATTTTTTTTTAATTTTGAGACCACATTTTTGTTGACAAAAAATTATTGACCTAATTTGGGTTTACACACAACACTTGAAAATTATTGATCTAATTAAACCCCTAACTAATCCCCTAATTAAACCCCAATTAACCCTTAAAATTTTAAAAAGAAAAAGAAACGCCACGTGGCGGGCTTTGGGGAGTCTCTATATTTGGGGGAACTCCCATTTCCACCCCCAAATTTGGGGATCCTTTTGGAGATCTCCCCCAAATATAGAGACTCCTCCATTTATGGAGGCTCCATTGGAGCCAACTTTCCCCAAATATAGAGGCTCCCCCATTTATAGAGGCTCCATTGGAGTTAGCCTAAGGTCTAAGAGTTTGCGGGCTAAGGCCCAGCTCAAAGCTGGATCCGGCCGAATAAAAAACCCGAAACCAGGGTCCAAGCTAACGAAGATTAAAGAAATCTCAGATATTGTATAACTTTTTTTTTTTATAATTTTATCTATTAAAATTTGAAATTAATATGACCATTGTATATCTTGATTGTAACGTAGATGAGATTATATCATAGTGTCAAATGAATATATATAGTATGAATATACTAACTACGCTCTTTGGTATTGGGTGATATATTTGGTCATAATTCTTTGTAAATATATATTAGATTCTATAGATCATAATGAATTCGTTCATTTTTATATGTGAAAGAAAAATACAAATTTGAGTTAAAATAGAAGGTGCTATAGAGTGGCACAAAAAAAAAAGTTTCATATGTAAAAATGGATATCATTTTAAAATCACAATTAACTTATTCCATCCATATCAAATATCAAAATTAAAATAAAGAAGATACAAGTCAATTAAAAAAATAGAAAAAATTGAAAGGTTTAAAATCTCATCCCTTATATATGACCCCCACTAAACCTGAAGAAGCAAATCTAGTTATTCGCAAATGTATAACCAAGGATTATACAGCCTACCCTCGACTCGTGCTAGGGTCATCAAAGCGACAAGATCGTTTGGGTTCACAACGATTTAGTTGAAATTTCTTTCATACTGATTTCACTAAAATGTCACAAAACATTTGTAAGAACGTGTTCATAGACACATGAATGCCTCATATCGTCCCTGTATGTTATCTATTTTTTTTAGTTATTTTTCTTTATCAAAATACACAGAAACCTAGTTTCGGCCAAACTTGTGACCCAGAGAAACAATGCAATTTATCAAGTCGGTAAATCCATACACACAGAACTGGTAGAGGTTGCCCTTGCCTAGCTTTATATGAAGTAAGATGCTCTATTAGTCTATTAGTTCCCCTTAAGCTTAACACACTAAGATGTAGAGATATAGTCTTGCCTACTTTAGACTTAATTTTTTTTTATGTATCCTAATTAATTAAGTAGCTAGTTCCAAACCTGTGATGTGCAGTGACTACACTACTGCTTTTCCTTTTCAATAATGAACATAGTTTTAGTATAATACAAGTGCGCAAGATTGGAGGTTTTTTTTTTAGTTCGTAAAGGAATAGGATTAGGCGCATGGGTGAAAATGGTATATGGTTGTTCATTTGATGGGGCAATTCATGTCGAGTAGTTTGCCAAATTGTGGTAGCATGTTGCAAGGTTGAAGAAGACTCCAGGTGTAGGGTAGGTGTTGGAGTTCTGTCTAGCAGCTAGTATACTTAGGTGGTGTTTTAGATGTTTGAAGTGAAAATAACAATTTTTAGTAGAAATAATAAGTACAAAATTTTGTATTTACATTTTACATTCAAATGATTAATAGTTTAGATAACCCCTAACAGCAAGCAAAATAGGTCATAATGTTCTAAAATCACAAGTTTATCGAATCACAACCGATAAAAAAGTTAGAAACAACAAGCAGTTGAAAATAAATTTGTTCATCATCATCATCCATATAGATCTGTCCATCCACCAGTTATCTTAATCATCATCTCTTCCCCCTCCTCATCGGACTCGAAAAGAATGAGCTGGGCGGAGAAACAACTTTCTAACCTAAAAACTGATGATTCTTATTTCAAATGGAGGGAGTGATAGAAGGAGTAAAGACATTCATTGAGGGTAGTTTGAGATGGTGTCATTTTGGGAAGACAATTACAATATTTTCTCTCCGTTTCTTTGTCCATCAATTGAGTTTAAGCACGCCTCCAATGGTCTAATTGTTTCTCAAGCCGTTTAATCACAACTAGGCACCCTTTAGATGTTATGAATGCCTTAGTTGCTAACTATGGTTTAGGTGAGATGTTTTGTTGTCACCTAGTGCCTAGACGCGTCTTTGCACATGCTAAATTATGTCTTTTTGAACCCTGACATGGTGCCCTCTAAAGATTAATTTAGTATCTTGTTATATGGCTAGAGAGTAGGCGTCACATTGGACTTATTGATGTCACGTCCTTATGATGAGTCATTCAATAATAACATCGCTGGTACGATAAAATGTGTATGCAATTATTGATAGAGTAATATAATGAAAGTGAAATTATCATCCCTCGAGGATTTATATAACTCTAGATTTAATAGATTAAAATCTTGGATCATAAAAGAAACATAAGTTATTTTTGTAGAAAATACATGTAAATAATCAAATTGGGAATATAAATTGAGAAAAAACTATGGGAAGAAGCTTTGGGGATAGACGATCACAATTTATTATCTAATTATCTCATTCCAGCCGTTTATTAATCAAATAATTCCAAAACAAATGACCAAAGTTATCATGAAAGTATTATCATTATCTTTAAAAATCATTACGCACTAACTAGTCAATTAATTGTTTACTCTTGTACAATCAATTAATTAATGACATAGGTTGAAGTCAGATAATCCCCCTAATAATCAAATGACTCCCGCTTTCCACTCTATTGCTCAATTGAATGTTATGATGTATGCATTAGTGTTCTATTATAGATATTTCCTTTAAGTCTTAACAAGAACAACATTTCAGTATACATATTACTTGTTAACACCAAATATTAAGAATCAATACATAACATGAACAAGAAATTCAAAAAAATTTGCATTAAATTACAACAATTTGATCGCTACATCGTAAAGTCTTCCCAACAAAATTTGGGTTTAGTTCATAATTATAGAAAGTAAACCAAAAAATTGTTATAGGTTTAACATCTTGAAATATAAGAAATAAAAGAAGATGATACAACTCATTTCTCTAACTTTTAAACTCTTATACTCTATAAACTCATCGAAGTATATCTATATGTGTAATGAAGTGGGTTTGATCCCAATCATCATAAATAAATATATTAGGGCCATATATGTGATACATATAGCATTGGTGATCAAACTCTATTCAATAATGAAAAAGAGGGGGGGACCAAACTAGAATTATGCGTTTCTTCGTGCGAAACGTTTGATTTTCGGAAACGTAAATCCCTCTAATTCGGCGGCCTGTTGCTTGCTGCTCAATCAGTCAATCCTGATTCCTGAATAACACACGCAGACGCAGTGAAGCATTCACGATTTCGGCTAACAAAACGAAACCGTCATTCTCTCCCCCTCCAGCCCGCGCTTTCTTTCTCTCAATTTTGTTCCCCTGAGCCTCCCCTCAATCGACAGTCATACCTTCAACAGGAGGAGAACCCCCTTTTATCTATACAGACGGTCTCGAACTCACGGGCTTGCCCTAACTTTGGTGTCCGCAAGCTGTTCGACGAAATGCCTCATCCAGTCTAAATCACTCTAAACTAGCTATAGTCTCTCCTCCACAAGCTCTCGGCATCTTTTTTCTATTCAAGTATGGAAGTGGGCCACTGCTATTTGGACGGCAACGCCGATGCAGTGGAGTTCTGTCCGCACCAGCCCTACCACCACATACTGGCGGCTGCTACTTACAACTTGCAGGAAGGTGATCAGCCTACTCGAATGGGCAGCATTTCACTCTTTCTGGTCGATGCTCAAGAGGGCCAGTTTGAGCTGGTTCACCAAGTGAAAACTGCTGGGATATTCGATGTCAAGTGGAGCCCGGTTGGTGGGAGTGTGAGCCCGCTTCTTGGGCAAGCTGACGCTGATGGGTACTTGAGAATTCATGGCCTGCAGAGCTCCTCAGATGCACCGAAAGGTAAATGCCTGGTAGTGAAAAGTTACAGCTTGTAGCGTAATGAAGTGTAACGAATGCGTACCATATGGTTATGATTTGTGAATGCAGTTTACTCACTGGAAGAGGTAGCAAGTCAAAAGATTAGCTCTTCCTCTATGTGTCTCTGCTTGGATTGGAATCCATCAGCCACTTCCATTTCGCTGGGGCTTTCAGATGGCTCTGTCTCAGTAGTTTCAATCTCAGAATCCCAACTGGTAGTAGTTCAAGAGTGGCAAGCACATGCCTTCGAGTTGTGGACTGCTTCCTTCGATATTCACCAGCCTCATTTGGTATACTCCGGGTCGGATGACTGCAAATTCAGTTGCTGGGATTTGAGGGATGACCCTTCTTCCAATTCGGTGTTCCAGAACTCCAAGGTTCATAAGATGGGCGTTTGTTGCATTGCAAAGAATCCCACTGACCCCAATGCATTGCTGACGGGGAGTTATGACGAGCATCTCCGAGTATGGGATGTCAGATCGATCTCAAAACCGGTGAACCAAGTCTCCCTGCGCTTAGGGGGAGGAGTTTGGAGAGTTAAGTACCATCCATTTGTTGCAGATGTTGCATTAGCAGCATGTATGCATAATGGATTTGCTATTGTTAAGATCAATGATGGGGGAAGTGAGATAATTGAGACGTATGATAAGCACGAATCGCTGGCTTATGGTGCTGATTGGCAGAGAGGTGGCCTTTGTGGGGAAGGCAGAGGAAAGAGCGCTGCAGTTGCAACCTGCTCCTTCTATGACAAGCTTGTGCGGGCATGGATTCCTCAAAATGTCATTGTTTAACAAGTGACTTTCAGCATGCTTTTGAAAATGCTTCTTGTGAGCACACTTCCTGAATTCACTCATCAATTGCTGCTTCTGCGGGTGCTTTATCAGTGTACTTTATGAGGCCAATGTATCATTATCATCTGTGACAAAACAATTGTTTTGGATGGGATTCCCTGTTCTTCTTTTTATGCCATTAAATACCTGATCTTTGGCATATGCTCTTGATCTCAGACAGAAGTCCTCGAAACAGGGGATGAGGTCGGGCTTTGTATATGTTTTCCAACTCAGGAACAGGTTTTCGCTACTTGGCTTGTATCGTTGAACTTGTTGTGCTCTGTTTTCTAGTTTATTTGATAAATTTGCTTCCATGGTTGTGGACGGTTGAGCCTTTGGTCTCTGCTACAGGAAAAAAGGTATCGTACAGCACAATAAAGTTTGTTTTTACCAGATGCAGTAAAGTTCTTCCATTAATGTTCCCTTCACTACATGCAATTGCAAAGGAACAATCAAGGACATTGAAAAGTTCATAAACTCCGGGGGGGACTGGCCTCAACTACTACACATTTACATTGCAGGACAGTACACAATGTCCTGCAAACCCTCTCCATTATTACTGTGGCCATTTTTGAAGAATTGGTAGAAAAACCAAAGCAGTGTGGGGCTCTCTCTGTCCCTTTCAATGTTACAAAAGGAGCCCAGCTTTTCAATTCCTACTGCTACGAAAGTAATTTGTGAAGCAGGGGATGCTTATTGCTATTGGTTTCAAACCCAAAAGTCCTCCATCCTTCTTCACTTGCTGACAAGAAACACTTGTGACTGCCACTTACTGCTGCTGCTTTCACTGTCTGTCTTTCTCCAGAAAGAATCTCTCTTCAGTCTTCTCACTTCTTCCTCATCTTCTTATCTTCACAAAAATTACACTTGTACTGCTCTTGAGTCTCACATGCACTATCCTGAGCAAAAAAAAAAAAAAAAAAAAAAGACTGAATCTTTTTGTTTTTCCCCCTCCATTATATATCAATCATAAAATTCCAAATTTGTAATATTCATTCATTCCATTATTTCTTGGCCACATTCTGCCTTACCCATTTCCAGACTCCTTTTGGATTCCACACATTGGCGCCACTAAATAGGCCGAGTTACCCAGAAAATGGGTGCCATTGGGTTAAAGTTTTAGGCTTTGAGACATCAGTTCTGGGGGTCCTTTCCTCTCCTGAAATGAGTTTGCTCAAGCTTTCCTGGGTGATTTGGTTGCTCTCGATTTTGGGGTGTAGAGCTCTTCTCTGTTGTCATGCTGCTGATTTGTCTCTCAAGTTATTGAAGGCTCCACGTCAGTTTTCTCACTTGAGTAGAGCTACATTTGATTTGCAAGCCTTTTTGGGTGAGGATGAGAGTGCTGCTTGTGTTAACTGTACTTTCAGTTGCAGGGTAAGTTTTTCCCCCCTTCAGCTGATGGAAGTTGGTAGTTTCTGCTCTCGTAACTTCAATTCTTAAAGTTAAAGAAATCACCATCCCTTTTCTGGAAATAAAATAAGAGAAAAATGAATCATGCATTTGCTGGCTGGCTCTCAATTTGTTGTCACTTACAGCTAGATGGTGGCAAACCAACAGATTGTGGATCCAGGAAGGTTTACTATGCAGGGCTGGAGGATGGCAATCATGGGTTTGAAGTCTGCAGCAGTGATGGAAGCTCTTCAGTTGTTTGTGCTGACTACAATTGGACTGTTGGTAAACCAATCGCTTCCTTCTCCAAGTTCTTTCCTTTTGAGTCTACAAGACTTGAATGTCCTTTAACTTCTCAGCCAACTTCCTCCATTGAATGATGCATGTTGTGGTATCTTGTATGAACTAATTTCAAGATTGAGCTTCTGAAGAAATTGTAGATTAACCTGGGTTCATTCTCCTTATTCTCTGCAGACACTATCCCTCCAAGTGCTTCCATTGCCACTTCATCATCTTTCACAAATTCCTTAAACGTGTCTGTAAATATTACTTTCACCGAGCCCTGCACCGGAGGAGCAGGTTTTCGATGTGCATCAGTGGACTCTTGCGATGTGAGTAGTGCTATTTGTTTGAACTTTAGTCAACATCTCGGTAATTTCAAACTTTATACTGTAACTTAGATGCATATAATGAAGGCTGTAAGGTATCCAGATGCAATTCTTTTCTCCGTTTAATATTTTTTCAAACTCTGTTTTGTAACTTAGATGCACATAACTATTTGCAGACTAGTAATTCTATTGCTACTTTAAGTCTTTTTATCTTACTGTTACAGCTACTAGTCTATGGTGCTGGCCAAGTGATCCCATCTTCCTTTGCTGTTCTTGAACCAAACCTCAAGTATTCTCTAATGGTGACCTTATCGCGTAGTGTTGTATATGGGCGAGTTGTCTTGGTAATGAACAAGAACTTCTGTTCTGATAATGCTGGAAACATGTTTACCAGAACACAGAATTCTAGTTACTTTCTCCATTTTGGTGAGTTAAAGGATCATGTTCATTTTCTATTATCTAACTTTTATCCGTTCTGATTTCCTCTTGGTTGAATTTTTTCCTAATGAAGATTGGAGGAGTGTGTTCGTTGATATGAGGACTCGAGTTCCTGAAAGGTTACTTCAACTCCAAGGCGAAACTAGGACGGTTCAAGCAACTAACAACTATGATAACCTCAAGTTGTATCTCTACTTCTCCGAGCCTATCCTCAATTCATCAACTGAAGTTCTAAATTCTCTTAATGCAAGTGGAGGCTCACTCCGTCCATTAGGTGGAGAAAGCCTTGGCAACCGTAGATTTGGTTTCGAGGTAGCAAATGCAGATGGACAACCTTTTGTTATTCAATTCTCTACTTTTGTTGTACTGTGCTTCATCTTATGTCTTCTTTTCCCCCTTTCAGGTTGTAAATGTTTCTGCCATTTCTATTGTTACAGTTGCAATGCATTCGGACTCGATTATAAGCAGACCAGGGACTCCCGTCTCTCCTATTGCACCAGCCACCTTCCTTTATGGTATCAGCTCTAAGCTTTTCCTTCTTGCATCACTACTACGTCCAGCTTTTGTCAGAAACAACTTTTACCATAAATGCATCAGATTCTGAGAAGCCTGCTGTGAGGCTAAGCACAACATCCAACACAAGGACGAGGGAGCACAACCTTCTGGTGTCTATAAAATTCATGAAACCGGTATTTGGTTTCAACTCTTCCCTTCTGTCAATCTCTGGAGGGCATTTGCAGAGGCAAGCTTACCCTCACAGTACCTCAAACTAGCAAAATAAAATTGACTATTTCACCATTTTTAACATTGATTTCTTCCATTAAATTCCAGCTTCCATGAATTAAGTAGGAGCAGCTACATTACAGAGGTACAAGCTGATGGTGACACAGTATCAGTTAGTGTTCCTGGCAACATCACTTCTGATATTGCTGGAAACAAGAATCTCCCATCCAATGTTCTACAAGTGAGACACTGTAAGAATTCTTCTTCTTTTTCTTTTTTTTAAACTATTTCTTGTGTTGCAAACGTTCGAGATAAGATGTATTAAGGATATAATTGCGCTTCTTGTAGCTCACATGCTCTAGTTTCTTCACAGATTCCGTACCTAGAATCTCGTGCATAGTATCCACATTTGCAGCTGCTTGCTTCATTGCTACATGTCTAGTTGCTGGACTGCTCACTCTGTCAACAGCAAGCCTTCAGGCCATTGGAGCATTTTCAAGGCCATCACCCCTCCTGACATCCGAGCCAACACGGAGTCTTTTCGTACGTAGCCTATGCTTATTGCACCTACAATTTTACTGCTTCCAATAGCTCTAAAGATCTTCCTTTTTGCCTATCAACAGAGAATTGCATGCTACGTTCAGATCTTCGCACTATCTAGGTGGTTGGCTGTCACTCTTCCAGTCGAATATTATGAAGTCTCGAGAGGCTTACAGTGGAGTATTCCATACTTCACACTTCCCTGGGAAACCAGGGGTATTCACTCAGCAACTCTACTCCCAAATTCATCTGCTGTCGTTCCACATTCTTCTACCATTTCTAGATTCCACAATCCAGAAATTCCCAATCAAATGCACAAGGGAAAGGAAAGATTGAGCATGGCTGCTTCGGTATATGGCTTGCCTCTTACTCCAATTGAGTACAAATTCTTCTTCGAGGTATATCAACTCGTCTGGCTCCATTTTACTTAGTAAATCAAATGATCAATGCTCTCATGTTAAAGGGATGATCACTTGTGATGTGCAGAGCCAAGACATGAAGCCAGAAGCAGATTATATCATGGAAACACAGCGTTCCAATGGGTGGAAAGATTTTCACAGAACCATGTTCTGGTTAGTAGTAATCTGTGGTGGTCTAATACTGCTGCATGCCATAGCTATCCTGATCCTCAAGTACAAGAAGAGAGAAGAAGAATCTCAAAATCCCAGCAGCAATGGAGCATTGGTATTTCCAAGATTCGAAATATTTCTTCTCATTCTCTTGTTGCCTGGCATCTGTAAGGCATCTGCAGTGTTGGTGAAAGGTATGTTATAGGTTGAATAATTACTTAACTACTAAATTGAAAATGAGTTGGCTAATAATATGACTTCCTAAACAACTATTCATCCCAAATCCAACAAATTGTTGAGCTACTATAGTGTTGTTTTCACATAAACTTTTATGTAAATGTATGGAAGTTTCTGCTGATGTTCTTGCTCTTGCTTTTTATGATTTCCAGGTAAAACAGTATCAGGCACTATAGTCGGAAGTCTGCTGCTTTTAGCAGTTGGCATGTTGCTTCTAGCCTTGCTATTATTCCTCTCCATTGGGATCACTTTAGGGAAGTTACTCCAGTACAAGGAAGTCCATCAAGTAGGGCAGATCTTCCACTGGTATCAGGAGCTGGTTCGTGTCACATTAGGCCCAGGGAAGAGAGGCCAATGGACAAGGAAAGATCAACCCATCAACTCAGCCCAGCTGACGAAGCTCGGTCCGTTGTTCGAAGATCTCAGAGGCCCGCCAAAGTACATGCTTTCCCAGATAGGAGTTGCCAGCAACAAGTACAGGGACAGAATCATTGCATCAGATGACGAGACAGAAGATGCAGAAGCTCCCTTCATTCAGAAACTCTTTGGAATCCTCAGGATTTACTACACATTGCTCGAGTCCATCAAACGAGTCACTCTAGGGTTCGTCGCTGGTTCATATGCCAACACCTGGTCTTCCAAAACTCCAAGCACCGTCTTACTATGCATCAGTGCTTTCCAGCTCTTCTTTGTGGTTCTGAAGAAGCCATTCATCAAGAAGAAAGTGCAGCTAGTCGAGATCATCTCCCTTTCCTGCCAAGTCCTGACTTTCGCCACGTGTTTGATTCTGTCAAAGATGGAACCTTTGTCGACGAGAAACGAAACCCGAGTGGGGATCTTCATGGTTTTGGTGTTCTTGACAGGTTTCTTGGCTCATACGGCAAATGAATGGTATGCACTGTACAGACAGACGAAAAATCTGGACCCTGCGTTGAAGTCGTTCTCCACAGGGTTGAAGATGGCAGCAGTTGGGTTGCTGGCTTTCTTGGGCACCAAGAAGTTGTGCACTAGCTTGCTCTCCAAGCTACCGAAGAAAGAGAGAGAGACAGGCGGAGGGGAAATGGCTGGGTCGTCTTCTGCTGAAAGGAACAAGAATTCGGGAAGCTCGGGGACTCCAATGGTGGACAAACCGTGGATGAGACAGCTGAGAGAAATGGCAAAGGCGAGTTTTACGAGGGAAGGAAGCAGCGCAGGTGGAAGAGGTGCAAGTGTTCCGACGGATCCTTCCAGCAGTAGGACCAAGTGGAGTGGGTTTTGGGGCAGTAAGAAGAGCGAGAGCTCGTCTCAGCAATCCTCTGCTGATTTCAAATCCAGACCAAACCGCTTGTACAAAGATTTAGAAGCCATCTTTGCAGCAAAATGATGAACGTTCCTGTCTTTCTTTCTTAATAAACAAGAGCGTGAAAGTTCAACAGAGAATGCAGACAATCAATTCCTCAGATCAGTCTTTCTTCAAATTGGAACTTAACTCTTACTTACGAGTTACGACTGTAAATCATTCTTTTACTCAACTCATTGATGGTTCATGCAAAAGTAAAAAAGTTGCAAATTGGCTGGCAACTTTCGAAGTGTGATGGCGCCATGTAACAAATTCTGGAAAGAAACCAATTGCAGCAAGTAACAAACGCTCTATTAAGTAATCAGTCGCACTCCCCTGAAATATACCAGAAACAAAATCCGCCATTAAAGAAGCAATATGACAGTTCAAGTTCAGGTGAGCAAGTAGTTGAGAACACGAAAAGAAGACCTACAAAACACCCACTCCCTCTTTCCATCAAGAAATTCCCCTGCCTCCATCCATCGCGCCCAACATTCCACAATGTCTACAACCCAATTCCACCGCTACTGGACGCAGCTGAAGAAAATGTGGGAGCTAGCAGGCCCGGCCATGGTAATCGAAGTCTCCCAATTCTCCATCGCCCTCGTCACTTCCGCCTTCGTGGGCCACATCGGCCCATTGGAGCTCGCCGCCGTCTCCATCGTCCTCAACGTCCTCGAAGAATTCGCTCTCGGTTTCATGGTCCTCTGTTTTTTCTCTACCGATTCAATTCAGTTTCACAGTTTGATTAAATTGGTAATTAAATTAACCAACTCTCATCTCCATCAGTTGGGCATCGGTAGCGCGACGGAGACGCTATCGGGGCAAGCCGTGGGGGCAGAGAAGCTCCACCTGCTGGGCATCTACATGCAGAGGTCGTGGCTGCTTTCCATGGCGACGGCTCTGCTTCTTGCCCCCTTTTACGCCCTGGCGGCGCCGATCTTCCACAAGCTGCTGCGGCAGGACGCAAAGATCTCGGAGCTCGCCGGGAGATTCTCGATGTGGATGCTGCCGCAGCTGTTCTTTTTCGCGATGAACTTCCCGCTGCAGAAGTTTCTGCAGGCGCAGAGCAGAGTGTGGGTTCTGGCGGCAATTTCGAGCTCGGTGCTGCTGATTCACGTCGTGCTCAGCTGGGGTTTCGTTTCCAGGCTAGGGTTCGGTGTCGTCGGGGCGGCTGTCGCCGGCGACGTTTCGTGGTTTTTGCTCGTCGTCGCCCAAGCAGGGTACGTGGCGTTTGGCAGTTTCGAGTCGTGGAACGGTTTCTCTGTTCAAGCTTTCTCGTCTTTTCCTGGTTTTGCCAGGCTCTCCCTTGCTTCAGCCGTTTTATCGTGGTAAGGTTCTGTGGCTTGTTTGTTCTTCCTTCCCTTTTTCTGGTTTTGTATGATGGAATGCTCAAATCGGGAAAATTGGGTTTGAACCGATATAATCAAAATTGTTAGCGAACTAACCACTTGGCGCCAATAACTCGAGTTGTTGGGAAATGGATAGTTAAGCCTTTTAACTTCTTATACGCCCCCTCAAACGAAAGCCGATGCCAAATTGTGGATTTTTACGGTTTGTACAGGTTGAACCCTTGTGCTGCCAAACCACGAGGCTTTAGTTTGCACAGGTTGGACATACCATTCCTTGTGCTAAACGAATTGACATGAAATGAGGGTCGTTATGAGGATTCGAAACCATGACCTTTCGGTTCTAGGCTCTGATACCATGTCATAAATCAGTTGGTCCCAATAACTCGAGTTATCAACTCGAGTTATTGGGACCAACTGATTTATGACATGGTATCAGAGCTGGTTTGTCCTTGAGGTCACGTGTTCAAGTCCTCACGACCCCCAATATTAACCGTTGTCTTTCAAGCACATGGTATGGCGGGCCTGTGCAAACTTCAAGCCCATAAGTCGGCTTTCGTTTGAGGGGGCGTGTAAGGAAGTGGTTAAGTATCATACATGGGCTCTGATACCATGTTAGCGAACTAACCACTTGGCCCCAATAACTCGAGTTGTTGGGAAAGGGATAGTTAAACCTTTTAACCTCTTATAAAAATCGCGTCTCAAAACGCAAAAACACAAGTTCTTACGTTTAAGAAGAGACAAAATGCTATAGTTTCTATATGAAAACGTATTGTGTGCAAAAACGGTTTAAAAACAGGCAAAAACGCGCTTCTGATCCCTTTTTGTACGATTCTGGTGTTGAACAGCTTGGAGATATGGTACCCAACAGTGGTGATTGTGATGGTGGGGTGGTTAAAGAACCCTGAAATTGCAGTTGGCGCTGCTTCCATTTGGTAACCAATCGATTCACTTGATCTCAATCTAGCTTAAGATTAGTACTCTATATGTTCATCAAAGTAGGAAACGATTTCGTTGCGTTGCAGCTTGAACATTCAGTACTGGTCATGGATCATCGCTGCAGGATTCAATACCGCTGTAAGGTGAGTGATATCAAATTACACATAAACAGTAATCAACCAGTCTTCAAATTGATGCCTAATTTGACGAATGAATCGATTTTTCGCGAAATTTGTAGCATTCGAGTGTCGAACGAGCTAGGAGCAGGGAACCACGAAGCAGCCAAACTGTCGGTCGTGGTGACGATCGTGACAGCAACGGTACTCGGCCTGACATTCTCGGCAGTGGTGGCAGCAGCTAAGAGCCAGGTCCCGAAGCTCTTCTCTTCGGACCCTCAAGTCATCCGCGAATCAGCGAATCTCACGTACTTCTCATCTGCCGCGATATTCCTCGACATCATCATCCCAGTGCTCCATGGTACACTGCCAAACCTAGCAACTTGTTGAAACTATAAAGTAGTGTGTTGCAATGTAATCTACCAAGACTTGTTTCTGTGGGGGGCGACAGGGGTGGCGGTCGGAGCAGGGTGGCAGGTCCAGGTCGCGGTGGTTAACATCGTGTGTTACTACGTGGTGGGACTCCCATTGACGGCGGTGCTCGGTTTCGGATTCGAGCTCGGGGTTAAGGGGATATGGTCAGGGATGGTGGCTGGCTATGCGCTGCAGATGGCCTTCCTGTTGTTTGTTATTTACAGGACGAATTGGGAAAAGGAAGTGAGTTGCGCTTTTTTGCTAGTTTGCTTTTTTTTTGCTGCAACCATGAGGATTCGTTGCAGTTGGATTTGAGAATGTCATGGGAATGTAATTAACAAGGATTAGTATAAGTGCAGGCTTCGAAAAGTGAGGAGAGGATGAAGAACTGGGGAGAGATCTCAGGAGAGTAGGGCAGTGGAAGCCAGGGAGAAATGGATTGGAAGGAAGTAACTCCTACTTCTGTATAAATTCATATTCTTTAGTTTTTTTTACTGATATAATACTTTATATTAACGTTTTGAATATACAATTATCCGAAAATAGATATTCTGTTGTTCTACTAGCTCTCTCTTCCGTTCCACAGGTGTTCAGTAACTTAAAGTAATCTGGCTACCGGACCGAGTTAAAAGCTGGTACATTTGTATAGCCAAACCTTTACCGGGTTGTTTGTTTAATGGATTTGAAAAATACGGGCTTTGGTAAAACCTGAGTTTTGAAAAACCATGAATATATGATGGATTTGGTGGCATTATGGATTTGAACAAGTCTATTGTTTGCTTGTTGGATTTGATTATGGATTTTGTTTGATTAGATCTGTGGATATGAAATGTAAATTACCTTGTTACCATTGTCTAATTATATTTCTATATTATAATCCAAAATTTTCATTAAAAACAAATCCAACATATACAAAGAAATTTTTCTTTTTATCACTACTTTGTGAACTAGTAATTCAACTACAAATATAGAAATGTATCAAAATTTGGCTAGAATTAACAATTCATCTAATAATGTATACAATATTATGTATCAGTTGCAACCAGTTGCTCGCCTTATTGACACAACTCAACATCTTCTTGCTAACTCCCCCGGTTTTGGAATCCGACAGTCATACAAATAATAATGCACAAGATAAACATAAAGTGTTTATAGTTCAATCCAACAAATCACATACACATTCATATTTAAATAAAAAAAGACATTACAAATCAAATGATAAATTATCATACTTATGATAGTTATAGCAAAAACATTTCATAATGAAAAATCTAGCCAATTTTAAAACGTTTGTCTGACAATTATAACCATTTTCGTTACAAATTTTAACACTATTACCACCTAGCTGAAATATATATTTTTTTTTTTTTTGAAAAGTGGTTACTTTCATTTCATTCAATCAAGTAGAATAGAGAGTTCAATACAACAGTGTGATAGAACCCGCTAAACGAAGCTCTATCTAGGGATTTGGAATTAGGGGTCAATGAGAGGATGACCCGCTAGCTTGAATTGCAAGGATGAAGGGCAAGAAGGAAGTTTGGGGAAATTGAGAGGGAGGAAGCAGAAGCTGCTCGGTAGCCAAGAAAGAAGAGAGAAGGGAGGTTTGGCCGAAGGAGAGAGGAAGAGAGAGGGAGGAAAGATTAGGTTTTTGATAGGTTTAATCTTGTTTGCCTTTCCTACGTAAAACAATAGTTTAAATACCTAAACACAATTGCCTACTGACTACCCCAACATATTAATCCCCAAATTATTCCACAATAACCAAAATAAACCCGAACAAAATAATTCAAATCGAACATAAAAACCAAATAATTAAAACGTCTATCATTCCCGCTCCCTTCAAAACAACCTTGTCCCCAAGGTTGTTAGTCTTCCACCGCGTCTTCTCCTTCTCTCGCCTCATCTTCCGCCTCATCCTCCCACCTTCCGACCAGCATCATCAAATCAGGACGTGCGCACTTGTGATCTATCGTGAATCGCTCGTTGCAATTAAAGCACTTCCCTTCCCGCCTCTTCTGCTCGATCTCTGCAGGGGACAACCGCACAAACCCCTTAGGTAGTGGCCGCATGCCACCCCTTGCCCCGCGACTGGCGCCGGCGCCGCCGTCGGTCCCCCAGCACCGGCAGTGGCTCCAGCCGCACTTCCTCCTCCTCCGCTGCCCGCCCCGCTGCTGCTCCCGGCGCCACTGGGTCGCGGATAGCGCCCTATGGTCCTCTTCCAAGTCACGAGCTCCTCTTCCTTATACCCTGCAAGACGAAAAGCAGATTTCAAGGAGTCCGGCTCAAAGACCTGGACGGCAGCAGCAATCTCCGGCTTTAGGCCTGCCATACCATAGCGCCGACTTTTCCGGTACAACCTCCGGTATGGTATTTCAATCCTTGGTTCTAACATAATTATAGTAAAAGGAATGTCAACCCAAATAAAATTTCAACGAAAAAACTGAAACAACCGGATCCTTTTGAAAACCCCATCCATAACTCGAACCAAAAATCGGTTACTCTGGAGCAACCCAAAATAGGTTTACAAGTCAAAACCAAAAATCAACAACGACAATGTTTAGGATTCCCAAGTGAAATGCCATAAACACTTGAGCGACCTCAATCCAAAGCAAAAAAACATAAAACACAATCTTTGAGTTTCCCAGTATACTCATTAAGACATGAAATAAAGACAAGAATATTAAATGTAACTATCTTGGAACCCCGATCCTTGTGACATCTCCAAGTCTGGCGCGGCTGTCCTCCCCGATTGACATCCTCGTAATGAATATGTCCTCCTCCCCTCTCTACACCTAGTGAGTGAGAAAGAGTCAGTATCGTCATTACTTCCTAAGGTCTTTGCCCTAAGCAAATCCTTCCTAAACACATTATTAGGGTTCTTGCCTTAAACGAAAGTCGTTCTCGCTTTCATCCTTTATACGTTATTCTCAAAACAGTCTACAGAAGATCTTTACTCCTATCTTATCTTATAGAAGTTCTTTACTTCTATCCTTAACTTATACAACAAACACTAGGGACCGCCGCGGAACGTCTCGCCATCCGGTGTCTTGACTCTAGTATGCCAACCGCGTTACGTCTCGCCGTCCAGTTGCATACCCGAACTTGGCAATGGCAATGCGTTACGTCTCACCGTCCAGCCCATGCCCGGCTAACTACTGTGTTACGTCTCGCCGTCCAGTAGTGACCCCAACATACTCAATCAACTGATGTGTTACGTCTAGCCGTCCAACAGTGATCCGACCATCTACTGCGTCTAGTAGTAGCCTAACCGCCCGGGGGTTCCTCATACCATCATCCAATACATCACAAACATGCATTCACATACATAGCACAACGCGTACCTCCACCTTTAGAAGGCTGTGGTATGCCTCATACAAATAATCGCGCTTACTTGAAAATAACAAACACAACTGAAATAAAAGACATAAACTAAAAGATCTCGACAGAGATTTTACCCTCTTTACACTCACCTCGAAAAGATGACTCATCGATTCCTAACTTGAAGAACTCCCTCCTTAGCCGAATGATCTCGGAAAACCTAATAATATGAAGATCATTTCCTTAGACGACATTTCTCAATTTAAAACCCCATTTTGAATCACTAGAGCGTCCTTTTCTCAAAATCCAGTCCTCGAGACTCATTCGAAAAATCCCTTAACCTCCTTTAAAAATTTTCTAGAAATAATCCCTCCAAAACCGACCATTTTTCCTAATTAATTTCATCTTGGACAAATTTTCCACATAACTTGAACCTTCTTAAAAATTCAGATAATCATTTTCTCATGTCAATCATGAGAACATATATCCTGTAAAATTATCAAACCCTTAAAAATTCCTCAACATAATTTTATTTAATTAAAATTTATATTCTACTAATTTCTAAAAGTAATAATTCATCTTCAAAAATCCCCAAATTAAATCACAGTTATATCCTAGACCTCCTTCAATTTATAAAATTGTTAAACTCCAAAAAACCATCTGCAAAGGCTCGAAACAATTTACAAATCTTAAAAAATGTTTCTAGGAATTTCCTCCAGTTTTAGTACCCAAAATATGTTACTAAAAACCTATACAGTTCACCGCTAGAATCTAGAATATCACTCTCACGAAAAATCGCCAAAAGGATCGAGTTCCCTTACCTCTAGAACATGTCTAGGTTCAGATCGACGACCTTGGACGTCGATTTCCTTGTCAATCGATGTTTTGACCCCTCAAACGTCACCACGACCACTATAGTACGAAAATACGAGTTTTGGATTAGCTAATCGATGAATCAAGTTTGAAAATCGTGAAAGAATTAGTGATCCTTACCTAAGAATACGAAAGAGATGGGGCTGGGTTGGGAACAGGGGGCGGCGTGGAAACCTGCCGCCCTCTCTATTTTTTTTTTGTGTTCCGCTACGCCTGCTGCTGGGGGGTTTAATATGGGGGATGAATTTTATTTTTGGGCATGGTTTGATTTGGGGGGGTAGGGAGAGAGGGGGGGGGGACTAATAGGGGTTGCTTTGTTGACGATTCCTTCCCATATATATGTGTTATTTTTATTTTCTGTTGCAATTAATAATAGTAATAATAATATAATAGTAGTTATTATTATTATTATTCGTAATCCACAGTTGCAACTCTTCGCACGTATTCGTTAATCCAACTGTTCACGTATTATGGTCGAACCAGAACCAAAAATTGGAGTGTTACAAAAACAATCAAGACAACGGAAAGTTTTTGTCGAGTAAGTCAAAGGAAAGTTGAGTGAAAAGGAAAGGGCCAATGGTCCAGAAGAGAACAAAACGCAAGAAAAACTAATTTTTGAAAGGAAAATGAAATCAAAGAAAGAGCAAAGCTCGTCTTTTGCTTGACGCCAAATTTCCAACCTCTCTCACAAAGCCAGAACCAAGGGCGGAGCTACTTGGAAGGTATGGTGGACCCCGGGATTAGTCTGGGCCCCTATGAACTTAAGGATATATAGATAAAATTTGAATAAGTAGGACCCGGCCAGAACTTTAGTTCATACAATTATCATGTAGTCTACTAGTAGCTAATCCAATTTTTAGTGTGAAGAACCCGTGTTCAATTCACCACTACCTCGCATTTTGCTTTATTTTGAGTGATTTCAATGTTTTTTAGACTACATTGAAAGAATGGTAGCAAAACATTTAGTTTAAATGCTATTTTGAGTGATTTTTTTCAAAGAACGTTTGTATACTTTGAAAATAATTGTTTTATTTTTATTTACATTTAATTATTTTCGATCCACCCGGTGTAGAAATCATCGCTCCGCCCCTAGCAAGAACCCCTACTCTTTTTTTGCTGAAGTTTATACATTAAAGTTACATAAGAAAAAATTCTCTTTACTTGTCTCTAATTATCTCTCGGGGAACACAAAATTCTCATTCAAATTATTTGAAGGATGATAACGCATTTTGTTAGTTGGCGCTACATAAGAAAAAGTTTTGCTCAAGTCACAACTTCACAAATCGGAGTGTTTCAGACGACGAAGCCGCATTAATGATATGAAGAAGACGACAAAAAGCTTTTACCAGGGATGAGAGAAATGAGAGAAAAGGGGTTTTCAATTATAAGGAGAAAAGTTAATTCTCTGTATATTTTTAAGTCATCGGAGCCACAAGTAAAGAGAAATCTCTCGAGGTGGATGTAGAATCTAGAAAGAAATACTTTATTTATATCAAGACGGTTTAAGTAACGATTAAAGTGTTAGTAAGATTAGTGAATCATATG